TAAAGTTTTGCTTGCTTACTCTGTGCTGCACCGTTTTTTTGGCCAGGACGAGGTGCGCCAGACGGCTGTCGCCTCTGGTTGAGTCGGGGGCTTCAATTCTCTCGCCACCCGGGCTTTTCTTTTCCCAGCAGTCCGTCCATTTGATTTTCAGTGGCTTTCTCCACGCCTACTAGAACTTTCTTGCACCATGAGCCAATATCCTTGATGGTGTCTTCCTTCTCGTTGTCCCTGTTTTTGCAAAACTTGTTCCTGTCGACGATCCTGACTTTGCGATCTGCACTTTGTTTTCCGTTCCTGCCAATGACCAAGTATAAGATTCAATGATCGCTTTCTAGGTTTTCCAACGTATTTTCCCAGCTCACCACGTCCATGCTAATGCACAACGAGAGGTCCAGGGTCGTGTCGCGGCACACACCCTGTCCGATTCTTGTGTGCAATATTGGCTCGTTTAGCAAGGTGAGGTTGAGGTCGTCCACTAGTCCTGCAAGCCTCCTCCTCGTGAGTGAGGCGTTGCTGTATCCCCAGTGCTTGTGCGGGGCGTTAAAGTCTCCGCAAATCAACAGTGGTTTGGAGGCAGCTTTCGCGATCGCTTCGTGGAAGAGGCAAACGAAGTTGGGAGTGAGATCTTTCTTCGATGAGGTGCTGTAAATGTTGAGGACGAACAGCCCAGCTGTTATGCCCTTGCTTGGTATAATTTCTCTTCGAGCGTTATCTATCTCGCTCGCCTCGTCCAGCTCGTGTTCAACAAATGCTCTTCTCCTTCTAACAAGGACGCTCATCATGATAATCCGCCCCGTGCGCTCGGAGAATGAACAGTGCGTGATGTACCCCGAAAGCTTGGCGTGGTCATAAGACAATCACATCTGGAAGTTTCTTTTTAGAAAGCGTTTTTATGTACCGCATGAACGTAGCTTTTTGTTTTTGAAGCCTCTGAAGTTCCATTGCCAGACTATGAGTCTGCCGTTGTTCACACGAGGCGTAGCCATGGTCATGCGAAAGTGTTGGAGGAGATTGACTGACCATGAATTCCTTCCGCTCCAGGGCCGGTGACATTGACTTTATTGCTTCTATTGACGATTATCAGAACGCGAGTGATCGTAAGCGGGGCGTCGACCCTTTTCGGCGGCTGCAGCTGCTCCTTCCTTTGTTCTAGGTCTTCTATTTGCTGTTTCATATCCAGAAGTTGAGTGTTTATGGTTGCGTGTTGCGCATTCCTTTCGGCATCAGACTCGTTCAGCCTCGTGAGAAGCATTTCAAACATTCGTTCCATCTTATCCACCAACATGTGGACTATTAGCTCAAGCACGTCTACTTTTGGCATTTGGCCTGGGTCTCTTCGATTCTTGCATGTTGTCCGTGTCATCTACTTGCACGCCACTCTGACTTTTGGGTTTGGACCCGACTATCGGTCCGTCTACAACGAGCATATCAATGTCATCTTCCGCCACCACGCTGGTGTGCTCCATGGGCTGACACTGCGTGGGGGCTCCTCTGGCGTGCCCTGCCATGCACTTGGGGATTTCGTTTATCGTTTTTTGCAACTCGTCGATCTTTTCTCCCATTTTGTCGTTTTAATCCCTTGCCCTGCTCAGCTCGTCCCTTAGTTCCCTATTCTCTTCGTACAGCTTCTTTAATCGCATCTCGATTGGTGAGTTGAAGGTCTCCTCTAGGTCTTCGGAGAGAGCTTCTTCCGGGCACCTGCTATTTGAGCTAGCAGGTGTGACTAAGTAACATTCCATCATCCCTTCGGCTTTCCGCCAGGTGGAGGCTGCCCGTTGCCGACAAGAAACTGGGCTCACTACTTGAGTTTCAGCCAATATGGCTACGGCTTGGGCTGCGGCTTTTGCTTCTACTGCGAGGCCTCTTTTTTACCACCGATGAGGAGGAGTGAGGGGCAAGGGCTCTGTTGCGTTGTGGAGAGCCGGACTTTGATCTCGAAAGGCCTATCCTTGGGTGACGCTCTGATGGGTCATGCGGCAAAAGGGCTGGGTACTTGTCCTCCGCGCCATCTTCGGGAGTGAGTGCACCCTCTTTCCCAGATTCCCGGCCATCCCTGCTTTTTGCGAGCCATCTTTTCGCCTCGACCACGTACGGACATTTTTACTTTGCTATACATGTGCGATCGGCTGTAGGGTGGGCTTCCCCGCAGATTTTGCACCTTGTCGAGCACTTGTGCACGGTAATTGGGTTTTTCGCACCGCAATTCAGAGTTTGACTTCTGGTCTCGGGCACAAGTTGGCTCTGTGACTGAGTCTTCCGCGATCTCGACTAAAATCGAGTTGCTTCTGGTAGAGTGTGGCTCTTGTCATTATACTGTTAAAGTACACCCACTTCGGGATTCTGTTCTCTATGTAGAGAAGAATCACTGTAGCAGTGTTTGCAAGTCTTTTCGCGTAGGCGAGATTGGGGTTTTTTGTAGTGCTCAGTGCCCTTGAGAGCTGATATTGCGTATAACTGGGCGGTACGTTCCTTATTATTCCATTCATCATTTCTTCCGGTGCAGACACATACGCAACGACCTCGTGTTACTTGTCCCCCACTCTAATTGAACAGATCCTCGCTAATTTGCCTGCCATCTCGTCGTCGGGCGTGCTGGCCACCAGAATGTTTTGAGTGTAGCTGGGGCAAAGCGTGGTTGTTTCGTCCGCATTTATGCCGTCCGTTCTCCAAATCGTTTCGTCCAACCCCGCCCGCCGGCGGAGATTCAGGCCAATCAGTGGCCACGTGAACACCTAATGTCTTCTTTCGGTAGCCCTGACATTTTACTCGCACGTAGGATTTTCTTCACATTGTCTCCTTTGCGGCAGCGCATTTTGGTCTCGCGCTGCAAGCACGGTTCGGCGTCGTGGCGAGCTTCGCAATTTTTTTTCCGTCGCGTAACTTTAATTAAGCCATCGGCATCTGTCTCAACTTCAGACAGGTTTGAGACATTATCTCTATCGTCATGCCCATCCGGAGTGTCGTCGGAAGTTGTTTTGTCCACCTCCATGATTGGATCTTTTCTTTGGGGCCCGCAGTATAGCGTGCGGGAGCAGTAGACGCGGCCTAGCTCGATCGGAACGCCAGTAGGCATTGAACGCTTTCCATGCGTTGTCGATGTGAAATGTGGTCATAAAAGTAAAAAACGCTGACCACTGATCGTGTTGTCTATACAGTTGCTAATTAATGACGTGAAAACACTCGCCATTGTCAGTGCATCTAGCGCGTGTACTCTTGCACTTGGTTCGTTGTCGGTGAGCTCTTGCTCGCTGATAATACTCGGACGAAATGATTTTGCCGAAGGTGTCGCACTGGCCCAGATTGATGAGCCCTGTTCTATTAGTTTTGGAGCGTCATGGCACGCGCGCTGTGTAGCATACGTGCTTTTTGAGCTGGAGAGATAGTGATGCCTTGTGCTTTATAATCGAATGCAAACAAGAGAGGAGAATTCATCTAGTCAGTATGACCGACTTCCGGCTTCATCGCGGCTCACGGAGGAAGGAAAGGTAGGAGAGGCCCTGACATCACTTGTTATGAAGCCGCGATGAAGCCCGAAGTCGGCCATATTTATTGGGCAAATTCTCCTCTCATGTTTACATCCTAATGTAAAGCAGAAGGCATGACTCTTTCTCCAACTAAGAAAGCACGTGAGCTGCGTAGCGCGCGTGTGATGACGATCCGAAATTAATCGAACGGGGCTCAACACTCTAGGCCAGCGCGACACCTTCGGCGAAATCATTTCATACAAGTATTAACAGCGAGTAACAGCTCACCGACAACGAAGCAAGTACAAGAGAACGCGCGCTATAGATGCACTGACAACGGCCAGTGTTTTCACGTCATTAGTTCAGCAACTGTACAGACAACACGATTGGTCGTGCGCCTTCTACGGTTGCATTCCGCCACACATCTGACGCAGCGTCCGGCCACTGTGTTCGTGTTCCGCATGAAACTCACCGGCGTCAGCATTCTGCGACCATGGTGACTCTGAGCATGGTGCAAGTGACACTTGAACGTGGTTTCTGTTACATCGAGATTACATGCAATGCTGGGGGATAGTATGTGAAGTGAACAGAAAAGGTGTTTTATTACGCACATGCATGTTGTTACTGTTCACACACAACACGAAACTACGTGTGTGTACATGTCCTCATTGCGTCTTGCAAGGTTCAACAGCAGCGTCCGTTGTCACAAGCAGAAGCACTGCCCAACCGTCAATGACCTGAAAGGCGTTCGTCGTCGTTCCGCTCCGTCATGGTGCCCAACGCAATTTTGCTGAACACTAACTACTTCATCCGCGTCATCCGCCGCATGACACATGGATATGCACTCGTTCTACGGACTATTGAAACCCCGTGACAGATGAAAGGATTTGTAAACGTTGCTGAGAGTACAGTAACTGTCAAGAGAACACTGCGTAACCAAGGCGCAGAGCACGGATATTGTACGCCACGGCTCAGCACGAGACTTAGGCAGGCACACATGCCGCCGCCAGCCGCGGCCGCTTACAGCTAGACAAGCTCTACTGTGCAGCACATAACCATAACAACGCCGCCATTGTGCCCAGTGAACATGGCCACCATGATGTCATTTCCTCCACACTTTTCACGTAGCTCGCCGGCTGGACATGGCCTCTCCTGCCTTTCCTTCCTTCATGCGGCTTCACAACGAGTGACGTCTAGGTCTCTCCTACCTTTACTTCCAACGTGTCATTTCCCCACACTTTTCACGTAGCGCGCCGGCTGGGCATGCCTTTCTCCTACCTTTCCTTCCTCCGTGCTTGTTGCAAAACTTGTTCTAGACGAGAAAAAAGTGCCCTGGATTACTAGCGCCATTTGGCACAGCATCAGAAAAAACTAAAAGCAATGCAACCACTTGTTTGCTCGCTGAACCTCTAGATGCCGCTACTTAGAATTGTTGAAAGGGTGGTCACCGTACGTGACAACTGGGACGGAAAAAGTTAACCAATTTTCACGTAAACACGTTTGTTAGATGGTAATTTTTGTGCATTCTATTTTCAGTGCACCGAAAATAGCCTAGGCTCCTGTCCCCAAGGCTGCCGTTGTCGTGTGTTGAAGAAACTGAAGACGCCTTTATATATGTGTTTCGAGGAAGGAAAACCACTGCCAATGGGATTCGCCGACTATTGAGATACGTTTCTATCTGCTTGCCTAATATTTTTGTTCCATGAAGGTTGAAGGTTCCTTAAATTCATTATTGACCTGAGGTCACTAACTTATTGTACAGGTGGTTTAAAGTTGTGCGCACCAGCCGAAACCTATCTTTACGAAATTGACCAATAAAACTTTTATTCTATGGACTGACGTTGTTTTAGAAACTCCATGAGTTCAAATGACACGAAAGATTTTAAGTTCATATAAGTGTACTGCCTGCACAAAATTCACCTTCACTGAGAAACATCTGCATCCGCAGCCATATTGAATGGCCTGGTAAACAAGAACCTAGGAACAGAATACACGCATATTCTAACTCGTTTTAGAGGGCGCACAATTGACAGGCAAGTCAACGAGAATCAACTGTCAAGTGGTCACTTTGGCTTCTCAGTTATATGATGACAATGACTGCGAACTGGTGGTGACAACGAAGAGTACAGAAGAAAAGGAAATATAGGTTTGCCTCTAGGAGTATAATAAAACATGGACTGCTCGGTCTAAGGCCCGGGTCGTTAGTACACGTCAGTAGACATCGGAGGAGCAGCGTGGTGCTGTACGATATAAAAGCGAATGGTGGGCGCAATAAAATTCAGTTGCAAGTTCAGCGCTAGTCTTGTGCACTTCATCCCTTCGTCCTCGTCTTTCTGTTACGCAGTGTTTACCCAACTGAATTACAGACTGAATTAGAGATTATTCTTGGTACACTTCATTTCACTTCAGTTTCTCCTAGGCTCCTGAATGGGGCATCACATAAAGATGTGATCACAGGACAGCCCGATGCCGTCAATGAGAAACACGAATTTGTTATATTGTTAAAGAAATTCGAAGGAATAGTTATAACGGCACTGATATAGGAAAGGTCATTTCAGTGTCATGCTTCGTGGGAAAATACAGTGAGAATATGTAAAAGTGCTGGCTATGCTACACCTCACGTGAACACACTGCAGCCCATGGTTTGAAATTCCGTGCATACTCCAGCTGGCATTATTAAATTGCCTCTACGATTCTCGACTTCAAAAATATCCCAGGTAGTCTGATTAAGGTGAAAGCCTTAGGTGTCTTAACAAATGCGAAAGCTGCAAGTTGTGCATCGGCACGTCAACACAACTAATGCTAACCGCATCCCCAGATGACGCAACGGTGGCGCCATATTTAACCTAATTTTGGGACATGTGAACCTCACTTAGGACGTGACGGCACCAGATAGCACCATCGCTTCTTCAAAATTGGAAAAATAATGGAGGCATTGCCGAACCAGCTATCGTGCATAAAGCGTGCAATACATCAGATATGATCCCTTCCACAATGGGCGGGCAAGACTCAATCAAGCTACTGAGCAGAAAAAAATAACTTAGCTTTTTTATTCGTATTCCGCTTAAAAAACTTGTAAGGGATTGTGTGATCTTATTTAAACATTCTCTTATTTAATTTTTTTTTTCTGATTGTAATGGTCAGCCTTCAACACATGCTGAATCTCTACACTACTTTTGCTGATAAGTTCAACCAGTTTCATTGTTTCGGAGGCAAAGCTCCTTAAAGCGGCACCCGTTCATCCCTCATAGTAGTGCGTAACATGTCTTACGCTTTCACCTGCAAGGTGGTGCCGGTGGGAGATTTCTCCTGTGCGTTGTTGAACAATGAAAAATTCGCAGCGTGCACGTTAACTAAAAGCTGAATTCTCCTGTCTCTCATTCCCCATTAGCAGCCATTGGCATGTACATTTGAGCACTATTTAACAAGAAAGGGTCGCTATGTTATACTCGCTGGGCGTAACCTCCTTGGTTTTAGAAAGGTTTAGCGACCGTTGGGCTGCAGTGCCATGAATACAGTGAACTAGTATATACCATGAACTCATGGTAGTGAAAGGTGGAAAGTAGACACGAAGCACAAGCCGTAAGAAAGTGGGCATGTGCCTCCTTTCATTTAGTCTTTGGAATGTCCGCTGGATGGTGGTGCATCTATACGCGGATTATATGATGAAAAGTTGCGAGATGGTAGTACTTGGAGTGTTGACTAGATGAACTAAGGGACACACAGACAGATGCATGGACGGACGCACGAATAACTGCACGGACGGATGAACGCATGGACGGACGCTGGGCCAGATGCATGGACGAACGCAGGGATGGACGCACAGATGGACGTGTGGACACACGAAAAGACGCACGCATGGACGGGTGGATGGACGCAATCACATTCACACAGACGGACGCATGGACGGACGGAAGCAAGAACAAATGGACGGAAAAAGGTTGGCGAGCGTTGAGCCTCAGCGCCATGAATACAGTGAACTGGTATATATTATGATCTCGAGGTGGTTAAAGGTGGGAAGTAGACACGAAGCGCAAGCCGTAAGAAAGTGTGCCTGTGCCACCTCTCGTTTAGTTGTTGCAATGTCTGCAGGATGGCAATCCTTTTATATGCGGAATATTATATGCGGAATATATGATGGAAAGATGCGAGATGGCAGCATTTGGAGTATTGACTAGATGGACGAACGGACACACGGGCAGATGCATGGATGGACGCACGGATGGCTGCACGGACGGATGGACGCATGGGGTGAATGCATAGACGAACGCAGGGAAGGACTCACGGATGGACGCATGAACAATCACACAGACGGACGCATGGACGGACGGAAGCAAGGACGAATGGACGAATGGATGCTTCGCCCCACTCTCCATCATTCACCCCGTGGACAAGCTGCCATTTTTTATGAACTTTTACGTGAAATCATTACCGTCTCAAAATTTCTAATTCTTCGAATGTTGACTATAAAACTTCTCTACATTTGCGGTGTTTTGCACTTCAGTTAAGAACTACGGACATATCTGTCTATCTAGCCACCTATGTCTCGGTGCTCTCATAATCACCCTCTTAACTTGAGGTAAACCAAAACCAATATGGGAGGGTAAGATGATTTGACGTGACTTGCCGGTCCTGACATGAATGGTGCCCAAAAACCGTCGGGCACGTCGTCCAACAATTTTCGCTAAGCGGGTGGCTAATAACCGCTCGTGGGTATGTGCCACAGACATGCAGGGATGTACCAAAGGAGACTGGCCTGTAATATGTATATAAATGATATTTTGTTGGTGTACATAGGAACACGGAGACCCAGAAAAAATAGGGAGGGAACAGGCCGACAACTGCCATCTATATGGGCGCACAACGTCTAGTTGCTCCTCCGCAAGTGGGAGACATAGGTCTTAAGAAGGCAGGAGGGAAAAGGAAAAAAGAAAGAAGGGGAAGGAAAAACAATCACAACCCAGGGACGTCGAGAACACACGAAGACTATTTTAAGAGTAAGCGTTAAGAAATAGGTGACATCAACTTTGTTTACCAGACAAATGCAAAATAAATAAATGCCGTGGTTCCAGCAGCAATCGAACAACAGCAATCAGCGTGGCCATCAAGTATTCTACCACAGAGGCATGTCAGACAGTCAATTTTGGTTGGAGTGCTGCCTATCCAGTTTTATAATCATTGCATACGTACTTCTTTGATACAGCCGTTCTGATTGGATAACGTCCATTCTAGTTGGGCGCGATTTCCAGAAGTTGATTTATGTTGAGGTATCCACAGTTACGTCTTTGCGAGCATCAGCCTGCCTCATTAGTGTAGCGCCTCTGTTATGGCGCTAACCTTCCGGTCCTTCCTCTTTCAATTATGCTCTGCTCCTCTGTTATGGCTAATATTTAGGTTGCCGTTAGCAACCTTAGGCAATCGCAAACAACTGCTCATTTAGAACTTATGCTGCTGTTCAAAGTAAATCTACGCCCTTATTTGTACATACATTTAGTGCCGCTCCATGCATTTAGCTCAGTAAAAATTACAACACAGTCACCTCCCATACACATGCTTAGCAAAACATTGATTTCGAAGGCACGTGAGATCTGTTTAATTTTTTCTTCAACCGTAGAGCATGCGCGAAAAAAAGGTACCTGGCTATGACGTCTTTGCGTGTTGCCCACAAGTGTTTAGTAACTTTGTGTACCATAGCAAATACAAAGACGATACAAATATGATCAAGACTGCGCAATTATTTTATGCGAGGCAAAGAAAACTGTGCTAAGTGGTTCATAAGACGCGGGCAATGATTTGGCGCGCCTTGTGCCATTTCTTGCGTGTGTTCTACAGAGAGATGAAAAGATTAAAGAGAACATCGGTTATAACACATTATTTGATGTCAGCTGTAAAAAAAAAGAATATGATTCACTGCTTCAATGATATGGCCTCCCACCTCAGCGCTACTCAAGTGTGTATGCCGTGTGGTACTTTGCTTATAGGTTATGTATGCCACGCAGTGCTACGAAAGATATAATATTAAATGCGTTTTGCTAACTTAGCGCTGTGCCCGGCGTGTGTGCGCGTCAACGTCACGTTGGAGTATATTGGTCCCTTCTGATGCGCTCGCGGCCATTTTGGTAGCTTCACATATACCAAATTTGGTGTTACGTGATGTCAGTGAATGACGAAATGTATAACTGGCGCAATCATGATAATCCAGACACGCGTGTCATGTAAGAACATGACAACATACCACGCTTGTAGCGTGCTCGTGGCCGTTTCGCTAGCTCCACATACACTAAATTAGGTACCACTTGACGTGAGTCGTTGACGAAAGTAAACGACACATTAAAACATACTAATTATGACACGGAAGTCATGTACGGCATCACTTCCTTTCACCTCGTGACGTTGCACTGATATAAAAATGACATATGAACATTTCTCATTCGTGCTTCGCATATCATCGATTCTCACTGTACGCCCCGCCGCGGTTATCTAGTGGCCTAGGTGCTCGTCTGCTGACTCGCAGGTCGCGGGTTCAAATCGCGGCTGTGGCGGCTGCATTTCCGATGGAGGCGGAAATGTTGTAGCAACGTGTGCTCAGATTTGGGTGCACGTTAAAGAACCCCAGGTGGTCGAAATTTCTAGAGCCCTCCACTACGGCGCCTCTCATAATCATGTGGTGGTTTTGAGACGTTAAACCCCACAAATCAATCAATCAAATCAATCGAGTCTCACTGTACGTAGGATATGCCAATTTTTTATCTTTATGAACCGCACGGCCCAATCGGTTTAGGCGCTGTAGCCAGCCACACAGATTGCATTCTAACAGACCCCCATCTCTCCAATT